GTATAGCTCACATACAGCGGGTTTCCTTGGAAACCGGGCTCCGCCAAAGCAGAGTTTCTGAGCCAGAGGCTCTACTTTTAAGAGCCGTCAGGCGCTCCGAGGCTTACGCCTCGTACTAGGGGGTTCCCTAGGCTTTTCGGGGGGTTTTAGGGCTTAGAGAGAGAGAGAGAGAGAGAGAGAAAAAAAAAATTGGAAGGTGTGAGTAATGAATGGAACCTAACACCTCTATTTATAGGCTTCCTGGAGTGTCAACACATCGTGGTGTTCAGTAAGCTCCAAGGTTTCGCCTGGTGCTTACACGTGGCGTCGCACATAGGGTGGAAATTAGCTGACTTTCAAAAATTCATAACTTTTTCATACGAGCTACGTTTTTGACGTTCTTTATATCCACGCGTATTTGAAAATAAGATCTACAACTTTCATTTCGACTCCGTCGGCTAATTCTCGACTGATCTTAAATTTAACAGTAGGAGGATATTAGACTGTTAAATGACCGCGAAAAATCCGTAACTTCTTCATACGGACTCTGTTTTTTGTTCGTCTTTTTACCATTGATTTCCTATTAATGAGATCTTCAACTCTCATTTAGGTCGCGTAAGCCAAAAACCACTCGAACTAAAATTCGAGTTTCGGGCCGTGCACTGCTAAGCCAAATATTAGAAAAATCATAACTTCCTCATACGAAGTTAGATTCGGGCGTTCTTTTTATGGGTGCTCTCAGGTTAACATATATTATGACTTTAATTTAGATCACTAAGTCTAAAAGTTGCTCTATCATAAATTCACTATTTACGTCTTCTCGGTGTCGTGGCGGTTCCGTCGCGAAACTTCGATGGGTCATCACTTCTTCGTTATAACTCGGATTTTAGGGCTCTTTATATGTACGGAACCCTTGAGACATATTCTACAACTTGGTTAAGATTATTTATTCTAAATAATATTTTGTCAAAAAGTAATTTTCGACCCTTATTATCTCTAGATTGACTAGCCTGGATGTACAGGCGTTACAGAAACCCCAAACGATAGGACAACTTCAATAACTACACCAATCGTTCCTTCATCCCACCAATCGAAGGTGTATTTCGGACGTACCGTACTCCTCTAAACGTTGACATATTCTAAAGGCAAGATACCACTCTTACGATATCTTCTGATAGGTGTCATTCATTATCACAAGCCTTTTCATTTCCTCTATTTACTCAATTCTCTAAGAGCCTTCACCATGATGTTATGTTCACGGAAGCATGCATTTAATGCATCGAGACGAGAACATAGATAGAGAAGGTTTAGACGCGTAATCCTCCTTATTACTTTGAAAAGTTACATGCCAGTTCTAATATCGTAATTAAACATTTAGAAACCTGAACACAAAAATTTTCCAGATCTGGTCGGCAACTGACCATAGATCTGATCATATAAAGCATATGATAAACCATTTAGCAAATAAAATCATGTTAGGCATTTTCCTAAATAAGCTAGTGCTTGTGTCTATTCTAGTGTACTACCAATAATTTATTAGACACACTTCTCATAATCATCGCTTATCATTCTAAGTTTAAGTCTAGAAATAAATCTTTATTCCTAGTTTGCTTCAACTAATGCTCTGATACCAACTGTGACATCCCCATTTTCATGGCCATAAAAGACCGATTTTGTTTATGCTTTATAAAAAACAGAGTACTTTTTTTAATAAAAATGTTGCGGAATTTGTTCCTAGTAAAACATGATAAATACGTTATAAAAGCATTTCCGAAGAAATGTTTTTTTATTCATTTTAAAACACTTGGGATGTCTTTGTCAATACAGAAACATAAGCATAAAGAGAACTTACATTCATTTTCACTAGTGATTTATATCACCTTAATCTCTCAGTGTATTGTAACTTCGTATCGACACCTGTGATACAAATAAGCTTGAGTGGGTCGGGTTGGGAAACCTGGTGAGTACATAGGGACTTCAATCCCACAATGTTATATCATATAATTTAGAACTCACAAAATATACAATTTCACCATATATATATACATACATACATAAGCAACTCTAACCCCAACCCGTTAATCCTCACAACGAGACGATACATACTCTCGGACCTTAAATTCTTAACTCTTACTTAGTCCATACTCTAGGATCTAATCCATGTTCTTAGATCAATAATTATGTCCATTCTATACTCTTGGGTGAGGGACAAGTGTCTATGTATAAATCCATACTCCTAGATTAATGACGAACAACTATGTCCTGTCCATACTCACGGACTAAGGACAACTGACTATGTCTTAATCCATACTCCCGGATTAATGACATTTGACTGTGTCCAATCCATACTCTCGGACTAGGGACAATGACTATGTCTAATCCATGCTCCCGTATCAATGACATATACTAAAGTTCTATTTCTGAGTATAACTCATTCATACTCGTAAGAAGATACTACCCAATATTCCTCATAATTAATTTAGGTTTACTCTTTATCCTAAATCATCATATATAATCAGGTATGTTCTTTAACACGTATTTCAGGCAACATCAAATAACTCACACATAAACATATATTTAATACTTTAATCAATACTTGTATTAAAATCATGTTCATGAAAGGGACTATGCACTCACCTGTAGAGGTGGTGACTCTAAACTCGGACAACACTTCGTTTACTTTAAAACAATTTTATCGACAAAACCTAGTATCAATATCCCTAGGGTTTAGTCTAACGTTAACCGCGACTAATTAATAGTCTACCTATTATTACTATTACATAAGCATTAGACAATAATTTTCACCCACTATGTACAGACAGGGGCCAGACATGGAACACCGGAGGGAAGGATCATTTCGGCATATACTACTTCTGAATCTAGCAACCCAAGCGGCCCTCCAAACCAGATTTCCTGTACTGCGAGTGGTTAAAAGACATTATAACGACATTTATATAACCCATATTGATAGTGCAAATAACTATTCTAAGGTCCTAATAATATTACTTTAATTAAATAAAGCAATATTAAAAATAGCATAGGCGTAGCTCAGTTACAGCGGGTTTTTATTAAAAACCGGGCTTCGTTTGAGCAACGTTTCGGAGCCAAAAGATTTTCTTCTTGGAGCCGTCGGGCACTCCAAGCCTTCCTTCTTGTGCGAAGTAGGTTCCCTATACTTGGGAGGGGTTTAGGGAGGCTAGAGAGAAGTTAGAGAGAGAAAGAAAGGCTTATGGTGTGAAGAAAATATGAAGGATTCATCCTTTATTTATAGGAGTTTTATAGTAAAGTAGCCCCTAAGTTTCATCCATATCTTCCGAGTACGAGCTCCATTTTCTACCTTCTTTATATCCACACGTTGGTATTTATGTGTACCACAACTTTCATTAATCCCCGTTGGCTAACTCTCCTTCTATCTCAGATTTACAAAAACTGTATCGTATTTATCGCGCTCGAAGAATAGCGACTAAGCTTTGTCCATATCTTTCGTATACGAGCTCCATTTTTGACGTTTTTTATATCCACACATTGGTAAAAATAGGATCTGCAACTTTCCTTTTTGACTCCATCGGCTAATTCTCGACCGATTTTAAATTTAATAGTATGAGGTGATTACACTGCTAAATGTCCGCGTAAAATTCATAACTTTTACATACTGACTCTGTTTCGTCTGTCTTTTTGTTGTTGAGTTCCTATTAGTAAGATGTTCAATTCTCATTTAAGTCGCATTGGTCAAAAACTGCTCGATCTAAAATTCGAGTTTTGGGTTGTGCACTGCTATGCTAAATCTTAGAAAAATCATAACTTCCCCATACGAAGTCATATTTGGGAGTTCTTTTTTATGTATGCTGTCGGTTTAATGTATACTATGCCTTTTGTTTAGATTACTATGGCTAAAAAGTCTTCTATCGTAAATTCACTATTTACGTCGCGCTGTGTCGTGTCGATTTTGCTGAAAAACTTCGACGAGCCATAACTTCTTCGTTATAACTCGGATTTCGGCGTTCTTTATATGTATGGAACCCTTGTAACATATGCGATAACTTAGTTAAGACTACTCCTTCTAAATAATCTTCCATAAAAAACTCATTTTTGATGTTTATTGTCTCTAAATTGACTAGCCCGGATCTACGGGCGTTACAGAAAGCAACCCCAAACTCTAGATCTAACCTCCCAAGGCTCGCTTATCCCGTAAAGCCACAATCTTTACGTCCATGCATGAAACTTAGGGCTTGAAATGCCAATAACATGATCCATTAAGGGGTTTTCATTCAAAAGCTCTATTATGGCTAAATAAAGCATGGACCTTTGGACTCTAGGGACCTCACAAGGTCTAGATCTGAAGTCCAAATCTCTAGATGAATCAAAGCCCCAATTTTTAGTTGAAAAAAATCCTTAAACTCCATAAGCATGAGATCTAACGACCATAATGAGAAAGGAGTGAACTTTTTACCTTTCACATTATACTAACAATTTAAAAACTTGTTTTTTTGATGAATTTTGGAAACTCAAAATCATGTTATAGTTTATTATATTTATATAATTAATATATGTAAATATATGTGTAATTTATTAAATGGGTCCCCATGGGGGTTTCAGGACAGGATTACCTATCCTCGCCCCCCCACCACCGAAATTAAAACGGAGGTTAACCTTACCCGCCCCCAATTTTTTTTAAAAATTTCTCTCAAATGGGATGGAGACCCCATGCGAACAGGGTTCCACAGGACTTTTTGACATCCCTAATGTTTATAGAAAAAATGCAAATCATAAGGCTTATTTTTATAGTTTTGTCAAAAAAAATATTAAAAAGATAAGATTATCTTTTCATATATGTAGGACCACAAGTAAATATAATATAAACCATTGGGACCAAGCCAAGTCAAAGTCCAATACTAAAACCAAAGTTGGAAATTTGGGCAAACCAGACGGACGAAATGTATAATTTATGCTTTAAGTTTAATATAACGAAGACAATTCGCAGACAAAAACACCGCTACCACACAAACCACAAAACATTCGTAATGGAAGCATTTAATCGCATTTATGAAAACAGAGACGAAGAACCATTGTTGCGAGAAGGGCCACACAAAAAGTGGGATATGGATACCGAATCTACGGAATTGGAAGGATCAAGGCTAAAAGATATAGAATGGGAAGATCTCGAGGAAGACGAAGATAATGGAAATGGAAAAAAACAAAGGGTGGAGTAGTGGATTATGTTACATGTTTGAGTTTTATGTTTTAAGTTTATGTGTTTTGTTTTTACTTTTGATGTAATCTGTGTTGAACTTTTAATGTTTGTTTGATTGCAAGTTTTAAGTTTATCTAATATGTTTTGAAATTTGTTACAATATTTGGTACATCGTACCGGAGCGTCCCGAAGCGTACCGAAATGAGTCTACCCTCCTTCATACCGAATTTCAGGGACATAGCGAATTGCGTACCGCGTACCCGTACCCGTACCAATGCGTACCGCGAATTATGTGACTATGGTTTGGATTATTCAGGGTTTGTTTAAATTTGGTATTTTTACACCTGATTACAAGAAGCATCAACACAGAAAAAGACACTAGGGTAAGGAGAGATACATAACGGAATTTTTTTACCATGTAGCTGATCTACCATTTCTTTGTTAAGAGCATTCATCTTTGTAGAACTGCTAATTAGATTGTATGAGTTGTAGATATTTTTTGTTTGTTTTCACTTGCGGATCCCATTCATTTTTGTGCTTGTTTTCTCTTTTTCTGTTTACAAGTGTTGTAAGATTATGTGCCATTTGCATTTTACCAAGAATGTTTATTTTGTCTTTTGCAAGTGTAGGAATGAGTACAACAAACAGAGTAACTAGACACCAGATTAAAGATGATGCATCTAGCAGTAAGACTATGAAGATTGATGATGTGGGACCTCGGTCATACCTCATCCATGATGTGCTTTTATTAGTTATGATGCAACTGGGAGCCATCGATTTTATTGCATTGAGTGGAGTCTGTAAGTCATGGAGATCAGTATCAGTTAGTTACAAGAAAACGTTTATGGCATCCAAACCACCAATGTTGATGGATATCTCTCCCCGTTGTAATAATAATAAGGATAGGAAATGCCGCCTAGAGGACTCTGAAGGAAGAGTGTACAAAACCACACTAACGCATTCTGCTGGAATGTACTATATTGGATTAACTTGTGGTTATTTGATCTTGTTCAGGATGAAAACCAATAAGGACTTTTGGCTAGTGAATCTTATCACTAGACATAAACTTAATTTCCCTCCTGCCCCATGGATGCCTGATTATGTATCAGACATTACTTCTGTCCTTATCTTTTCACCTTTAATCTCTAAACTGGTGTTTGTTGTGTTAGCCGAGAATCAAATATGGTTTTCTATAGAGGATGAGGGAACATGGAATTGTGTTTCCTCCACTTTCGTCCTCAAATTTTGTAGGGATTTACATGTTTTTAAGGGGAAGATATATACTGTAGACACAAATAATTTTAATTTATGTGAATTCACAATCAATCCTGAGCCCAAAGTGACTTTACTCGAAACCAAGATTCTTGTGGATGATCCGCACCTATTTTTCCCGCAGCTTGTAAGTTGCTGTGAAAACCTTTATGTGATGCAAAGCTCAGCTTACGGATATGTATTCAATGTTTATAAACATGGTTTCTTTATAAGTGAAGAGGTTCATGGTGCTGCTGTTAAACCAGAGTTGTGGGCTGACCCTTGGTCACAATACCCGAGATGTGATGTTGATAATGGAGGTGGACATGGCGGATTGTTTCTTTCATACGAGGGGTGGTATTTCCCGCATGAATCTGTGAATGTTAATCTTTTAGATGAGTCATGACTTGTTACCACTCTTGGTGAATTTGGATTTTGCAATTTATGTTTCCGTTATCAAGCTGATAACCATCATTTATGTACCTCCCTTTTATGTGATTTGGTGTCCCTTGCTTTGAAATGTGTATGTATTGCATCTGGTTTATTCATATAAAATATTTGGTTTTATCTTTTAGGCTTTTTGTGATTGAGATGATGGTGAATGCCACCATGTCATTCACCATCATTTATATCTATCTCCCTTTTCTGATACCAACTGAAAATCCCGGAGATTATTAATATATCATGGTGAATGCCACCATGGCTCTACACTAGAATTTCGTCATTGTAGTTCAGTTATAGCTTATTAGAGTCTGAAGTAGGCTGAACAACTCTATTTTGTGGCAAGGGGTTTCATTGCATGGAGTTAGATTGGTTTAACTGATTATCTTTTAGTGATTTTTGGTGATCGACACTGTAATTTTAGTATCAACCAATCATTTTGGTGTTTCTGTAATTCATGATCGCTGAAATGGGTTTATATGGTGATCTAATACAAGTAAGGTGATGTGGGGTGCACATATATAACAATGTTTTATCCCAACCATGATGAATAGTGGGGTCAAGGTATAGAGCCCCCTTACAGTGAACAACACCCTAAAACATAAAGATATTTCAGATAAAAGTGTAGTGAAAAAACACCTTCAAAAGTAGCACCTCAAAATAAAGAGGATGGATGTGGCTTAAGATGACTTCTAACTTTCAAAAACCTTTGTTTTTGTCATCCTAATCCAGTTTTCAAGATAGTATAAGTAAAAATACTCACAATATGCCACCTTTTGGAACTACTAAGATTTTGAACAATCTAATGCAAACCTGATACTATGCTTGTTTTTGTGCTTTTTATTTTTAAAAAGTAAAATATATGTTTCAGTCCATAACTTCATAGTTACGTGTGTGTGTTTGGGATTATTTATTTAAAAACTATGATTTTTTTTTCCGGTGAGAAGGTTTAGGTACAAAAGCATTGAAAAAAGAGTGTTATGGCCGTTTGCCATATCAAATTGACATGTAAAATAGCACAACTTATCCAGCCATTTTGATTAGTTTATTAAATGTATCCGGCCTTAACTAGTAATTAAATGAGTAAATTTATGAAATCGTTCATGTGGTTTGATTAAAATTACACGTTTGGTCCATAACTTTTATTTTCCATTCGGATCATCCTGTGGTATGATTTTATTGCGATTTTAGTCCCTTTTAAAATCAAAAACACTATTATACCCTTCATATTCTTTTTAGCTTTTGTTTATTGTTTTTTTTAACTCATAAAATTTTTTGGTTTTTGATTTTGTTATATAGAAACTAATAAGATTTCTATTGTTCCCATACCTTTACCTGATCCCCTTTCAAATAGAGACTCTTGTTGGCCTCCTTGCTACTCTCTACCGCCGGAGCTACTCCCGGAGTCGGTGACTCGCCGTTACATGAAAGTTTTGACTCTGAGTCTCCTTCCTTCTATTCTTAAACCTATTCCTCTTTATCCATTTAGTCCGCTCACCGTCGAACTTATAATCCAAGCCCTAGATTTCCTTTTTCTTCTTCATCACTCGCACCATCACATGGACAATCAAAGTCCAAGCCCTAAATCGCCACTTCCATCATCAAAAGATTCAATCGGCAGTCCCATCACCTAAGACTTAATGTCCGCCATCTAAAGAGTTAAAGTCCAAATGTTTCTTATTTATGTAAATTCGACAACTTAATCAAACTCTTATAATGATTTAACTTGCTCTTCCCATACACAAACAATTTATGGACTTCTGGTTTGATTTCACAAAGAGTCAAAGTTAATTTTAGGATTTGTGTGTGAAGACGGGTTACAAATTGGGTTTATAGCATAAAAGCCATTATTATACACTCTCGCTTTTATTTAATCCCAATATTTTTTTTTATTTCTAGTTTGCACCGTTAAAGAAATGGCGTTCCATTTAATTACCCTTACCCGGTTACAACAACTTTACACCACCCCCTTTCAAATAGAGACTCCCATCGGCCTCCTCCCTACTCTCTATCGCCGGAGCTACTCCCGGAGTTGGTGACTCACCGTTACATGAAAGCTTTGACTCTGAGTCTTGTTCCTTCAAAAAGAAAAAAAGAAAGAACAAGCTCTAACCGAACTTCCTTTGATAGTCGATAAGCTTGACTTATAGCGATTTCCATAGAATTGGGTCGGCTGCCTGGAATCAAAAGACTTTCGAACCCATTGAAGATCCTTGTAGCTCAATTCTTAAACATATCCCCCTTATCCATTTAGTTCGCTCACCGTCGAACTTATAATTCAAGCCCTAGATTTCCTTGTCTTTTTCATCACTAGCGGCACCACATGGATAATCAAAGTCCAAAGCCTAAATCGCCACCTCCATTATCAGAAGAGTCGATTGGAAATCCTATCACTAAAGAGTTAATGTCCGCTATGAAAAGAGTCAAAGTACAAACATTTCTCATTTCTGTAAATCCGGAAACATCATTAGACTCTTACTATGATTAAACATACTCTTCCCATACATAAATAATTTTGGACTTCTGGTTGATTTCACGAAGAGTCAAAGTTGATTTTAGTATTTGTGTTTGAAGACGATTTATAAATTGGGTTTATACCATAATAGCCATTATTTATACACTCTTGTTTTGGTTTAACCCCAATATTTTTTTGTTACTAATTCTCCACTGTTAAAGAAATGTCATTCCATTTAATTACCCTTACCCAATTACCAACTAGTAATCTAGTCCTTGTTCGTTGCCCCTTTCCACTCAAGTACAAATTCTTCGGAACATGCATACTAGACACCACCTTTATCAAAATGATTGTATAACCTCTCATGGTTATACAATTACATCAAAAAAGGGTTTTCTACGGTTTTCAAGGGCTTACGACACGATTATTGAAGTGAAGTCACGTGATGACATAATCATTACTGAGAAGGAAGAGTAAAGAAACAAAGATGAAAAAGAAGACAAAGATCAAATGCAAATGTGATGAAGAGTCTGATGATGATTTTCTTTACTTAGGATTGTTGGATGTTGATCCAAATAACTTCAATCCTAAATCTACTTGGTATTAAGACCCTTTTATTAACATTTTATATGATGAAAAAATGTTAAATAATAATCAATTTCAATCGGACGATGAAGCTGATGTTGAAGATGTATAATAGGAAAAACATGAGCAAGAACATCTTGAAGATGAAAATGAGCTGGAAGTGGGTGTCGCGATTCAAGGTGCATGATCCTACTGTCAATTGAAACAAAATTAAGCCAATTGTTGGTGAGTTATATATGTTTCATGCTCATTTAAGGTTTGCACTAACTAACTACATTGTAGCTAATAAATACCAACTTTGGTTCATGAAGAGTGATAAAAGCAAAGTTATTTCTAGGTGTGGGAGGAAAAATGCAAAAAAAAAAAAAAAAAAAAAAAAAAAAAAAAAAAAACCATGTTCTTTTAAGTTCCATGCTTCATGGAAGTACAATGAACGTACTTTTAAGATAAAATCTCTGATTGCAACACATGTTTGTGTAAGGAATTATAATTTTGGACATAAGGTTGTTGTGTCACACCCCAAAACCGAGAACGGCGAACGGCGAAATATGTTCTGGGGTGGAGGACGTCATGTACAGTATCATTACAATTGCATAATAGTAAAAACAAAAATCAACAACCATTTCATTAATATAGTGATTATAATTACAAATGTGTTCTGTAAGTTTAATAGACACCAAAAGTATAACAAAAATAAAAGATGGGTCTTGTATATGCTCCATCTTCTCAAAAGCTGCACCAGTACCTGTCTATCTTTAACCTGAGGATACAAGTTATTTTGAAAACAAGTATCAACATAAAGCTGGTGAGTTCATAAGAATTTAGTGATGTTGTTTGTATAAAAATATTCACAAACATTGTAATATAAAACTGAAACTTTTGTATATGAGTAATAGAAATCCCTAGGAAATCTGATATTTCCCAGAATGTACATCTATAAGTTAAATCCTTTTAATGTATAAAAGCAATTCCATAGAACTTTCAGTTATAAAAATAAAGTGAATAGACGTTAAGTCTGCTGATAGTAGTAGTGTTATAAGCTTCAATTAGCC